CGGGTCTTAGCAATCGGTGTATTGGGCTTTTTGAACCTCTACTCTTTTCCCATTTTCTCTGCCTACATGTTAACCAATGAATCAAGGTGTGATATAGCAGCACATCGGGGTGCACCTGCACCTTGTGATCCATCCCTACCTTGGAGTGTCTACGCAGAGAACCTGGTTCGATTCCAGGCTGGGTCATGGGGAGGTTTGACGCATCTTTTTGCCCCGGCACGCGGTAATGGTTCAGTCAGTCCTTAACTTGCCTGGGAGGTACATCTAGCAGCACTGGACCGCGTTCAATTATTTTCAGAGAAGATAAGATAAGATAACCTGTCATCACCGCTGCTGACCAATTGAAACTCCGCTCACGCATTTTCTCCACTCACGACACACTCATGGCCCGCCGCAACGCGCCGCCGAACTCTGGCCCGGCGTATATCTCGCAAAGCCAATCACAGCGCCGCACCCTCGTCGACCCAGACGAGACTGCCTTTGCCCGCTTCCTCCGCGAGGAGGTCTTCGCACTCGACAAACGGGCAGGAAACTTGAGCCTCTTGACCGGCGTGGGCATGTTCGTGGGCGCGATGGTGGTGATAAGGAAGTGGGGCGGCATGATGGTCCCTGCTTGAGGTGCGCGTCGCTCTCTATTCTCGGTGGATTGTGTGCTGAATGTCGGCGCAGGAGGATGACGATGACGACGAATTACACAAAATGCATGCATGCGCTGCTCCGACCACCAACTGTATCTTGACTTGACTGCCCCCAATAATACAACGAATGCGATGCTCCACTTGCCCTCCCACTCTCCAGTCCAGTCCTTCCTTCCCACCGTCAAATTGTGGATCATCCTCACCGCACCAGTTGTGTTTTGCATACGGAAAGTCGGACCTGCTGCGCGTCTTACTTTGCGTGCGTCACCCGCCCCTTGCCTCTCTTTCCCTTTCCCGTTTCTCCTTTTGTTTGTGCTGAGCGACTCCACCGCGTCGCCATACTGCTCCAGATGTCGGGGTCGCGGGCGTCCCAGAGTGCAACAGTTTCTGCGCGGGGCCGTCTGTCCGTCTAGTGGGGAAATCCTGCTCCTGCGGATGGATCTAGGCAGTGCGTCCGCGTCCGCTGCCTCACGATCATGGCCACCCCCCGTTCTCCGTCCTTGCGATGCCCTACGAGATACGTACATATATGCCCGGGATGCGATGGTGATGCAGACAGACCGCGCCCTCCCCGTCGCGAGCACGACTGGCTGCATCGCCAGCGGCGGCGGACCCTGACTCTGACTCTCCGGTGCCATGTCCACCTCGACACACCGGCAGGCAGCCGGGCGAGGGCAAGGGGCGTCGAGCGTCCGCAGGCACCGGAGTCGTCCAGCCAGCCTGGGCTCGTGCTTCTTCTACTCTTCTACTTTACTTGGACGGCATGACCGTCTGTGTATCTCCCGGGTGTATCGTGTATCGACAACGACGCCGTCTTGGGCGTTAGGGATGCGCCGCGCGTCGTACAGTGTATGTGCTCGGTTGCGCCCATCCCTCGAGGCAGACCCCCTGGCGCAGACAAACGTCGCATCCCTACCGAGTCGGGCGCGCCCTGCCCTCCAGAGTGGCACGACTGCAGTCCGCGGCTCAGGATGCGACCTATTACTTACAGACGGTGGCCGACTGTGCGGACACGTACTCTTCGATGATCGTTTTCGTCGGCCCTCGTCCTCCCCCATCTCGTCTCATCTCATCGCGTCTACGTCCCGTCGCGCCCCTCCCTCCCTCGCTCACCGGTCGTGTGTCAAGGGCCCGCATGCATTCTCCCTTTCGATTCGTTTCCTTCCCTTCCTTCCTTCTACCTGCAGCGGGTGCGCGCGTTCGAGACCAAGACCCGGCTCACTACCCACATACCTCGACGCCGGCCCCGCCCCGCAGACATCGCATCCCTGTCGACCGAGTCGCGCCCTGGGGCAACGACGGTCCAGACGTCGACTGTACTCGACGACTGCGCGAGAGGGACAGACACGCACCACGTCGGTCTGCGATGGGCGTAGTCTGCTCCTCTTCGTCGGTCCTCGCCGTCTTCGCCCTCATCTCATCTTGACCGTCATCCCGTGCTCTGCTCCAGTACATACCCCCTCCGCGCGTCATGATCGTTTGTGTCCGCGTATCCCTGCCTCGCTCACCACTCGCGCCCGCCTGCCGAGCGAAGCGAGCGCATCCTTCCTTTGCTTTCCTTCCCAAATTTTCATCTCGTACGTCCTTTCTACCTGCAGACCAAGACTGGTATCGCCTCCCTCGGTGGATGTACATACGGATTGGCTTAGATGATGTCGCGTGCTCTCGTCGGTCGCCGCACACATCAGAACCCTCCGTCCCCGCTCGCGCGTACATACCTCGTCTTCGTCTTCGGCTCGCGGCGCGGCGCCCGGCTGGGTAGGGGAGGCAGGCATTGCGGGTGACCTGCGTACGCTCCCCGCCGGCGGACTACGACCCTCCCTCCGACTCACACTCGCCGTCAAGGAGGTTTTCCCTTTGTTCATCATTTCCCGCTTCCTTCTACCTACCTGCAGCGGGCGGGTGCCCGAGACCGTCCACGACCACGACTAATAACACCTCCCTTCGCCGATCACCCCTGGGGACCTGTGACCACGACTGGAGACCTCCCAAGCCTGCTGCCCACGACTTCGACACCTCCCAAGCCTGCCGCCCACCACTTCGACATAAAGACGGGGGCGCGCGCTCGACGACTGGTCGGACTGGACTACGACTACCACAACGACCCCGCCCTCTCTCCATCGCGTACTGGAAACGCGTCGACGGCAGAGACTTCCCGGCCTCGAGCGACGGACGTACTTAGCAGACTATGCGCGCTCATTCACTACTACCTCCCCCAGGCCTTCCCGTTTCCCACTTTTCGCATCGCATACATATTGCATACATACATGACCTCGGGCGTCCACACCGACAACCCTACGCATCTTCCTTTCCTTTCCTTTTCGTTTCCGTCCCCTCCGTCTCCGCCGCATGCACCTTCGCCTCTCCTCTCCTCGAACAGCCACTCACCTATATATTCACCCCTACTCATGCTTGCTTACATCCTCGTCGCGTCACGGCTCGTCCCGGCTGTTCTTCCGTTTCGTCGACCGCGGGTGTCACCGTCAAGGCCTACTGCGTGCCAGTTCCAGTGCCAGTGGGCCGGGGTGGGCACTTTTGGAAACTTCGTCATTAAGGCTCGCGCGGCCCCGCAGGTGTCTCGGTGGATGCATATGGGTGGGCGCGTCTGTGAGCTGGACGCGAACGGCTGTCCACGCCGCCCATGGCCAGGTCGGACTCACTCACCTCGCTTTTGTGAACCGGGCCGCACACAGAGCACTGTGTCTTCAGTGCGTTCACTTAACATTCACATTCATTCACGGCTTCAATTGTCTCTGCTAAGTAATCAAATTGAACTCATTTATTGCAGTAGGTAGTTGGGTACAACCAGTATCGCAACCTGGAGCTCGACTCGGCCCGTAGGCTCGAAACCAGCCTGTCTCCGAGGGTAAACCCGTCGTACAGGTTTACCTTCAAGACAGACCAGAGTCTGGTCTACTCGGCCCGCAATGCTGCAGCTTTTGGGTTAGGAGCGTACGAACGTGACCGGAAACACGATCACATGACGGTGTGGATGGCGTCGAACGCGACGCGCCCGTGGCAATGAATAAATCGCCAGTACTGGACCCTCGACCTCGGTTCAACACATGCACACTGCTTAAAAAGAAATTGCGCCGATGGTTCGTTATGGCCCGCGCCTGATTCGAACAGAGTCCCGATTTATTGCATCTACAATCAATAGGCGGGAACGCGAGTGGATGACCATGCATGCACTGCCGCGGGCTGCTTTACTCTAGATCTGGTTTGCAGTGGAATAGCTAGTAAGCACTGGCAGAGGCTGTAGAAAAACCAAGCACGGACGACGGGCGAAGAACGACTCGGACCTGATTCGAACAGGTGCCTGGATCCCGCTTGAAGGGCACGCGACTACAACACGGAATGCGGGTGTGGGCCATCCACCGCCGAGCCTTGCCTATTTTGCAACTTCGAGGCGATAGATGTGATGTTATTTTTTTCAACAGGCAATTCAGGAACGAAAGAGCATTCCATGATGCCATCCCCGGCGGGAATTAAATAGACTCGGGCCCACATCGAAGAGGTGCTTCCTCAATTTCGTCTGCTACTAACCAATTTGGGATGACCGACCCAAGTCCCATCCGCCCAAAAGGTTCACGGAAAATGATATCGAAGATCCAGTACACACGGCTCAGGCCTGATTCAACAGGCACCTTCTGCTTAGATCTTGCCCGCATACGTAGCTCTCACAGAATGCAGGGGTGGGCCATCCACTTCCGAGGCTTGCTTATTTTCAACCAAGAGCTACCAAGAGGATGCAGACTCGGATCCATGCTCGAACCGTCAATAGACCACCATCGATACCTTCAATTTCTGTTCAACGCATTCACACTACTTGAAAAAGAAATCGTCAAGCCCTTCGAAATACCCCGCGCCTGATTCGAACAGAGTCCCGATGCATTTACAATTAATAGCAGGGAATGCGAGCAGTGGACAATGCATGCACCACCGCGAGTTGCTTTACTCTACTCTGGTTTGCAGTGGAGTACATGTAGCTAGGAAATAGATGCTGCAGGGTTTTAAATTCAACCAAAAAACACACTGTGGCAGACAGGCGAAGAACGACTCGGACCTGACTTGAACAGGCACCTCCCACTTGCTTACAGCGAAATTCCTGGTGAAGAATTGCGGGTGTGGACCATCCACCGCCGAGCCTTGCCAATCCTGCACCTCGAGGCGCTAGATGCGATGGTTTTTTTTTTCAACAGGCAATTCAGGACGAAGGAGAATTCCTTACCCTGACAATGAACGAACCCGCGCTCGATTCGAATAGGTTTTCTCTCGAGTCTGGCTTCGGCTGCTGCTGATTTGGGATGACCCAGCCGGCCAAAAGGTTCACGAAAAAATAGTGACCAATGGACGTGGATACGGCTCGGGCCTGATTCGAACAGGCACCTCCTGTCAAATAAACCATCATTGCGAACATTGTACAGGTGTGGACCATCCACCACCAAGCCTTTTTCAACATAGGTTCAAGTTCAGTACTGCACCATCATCGCAACATCGTTATTTTGCTGAAGGTTGGTGCGGGGCTGAGGGACCTGTTTTGAACCACGTTATTATTCCCCGCGCCTGCCCTGCGCTGCCCCATTGTATTATACCAACGAATACGAACCAGCGCTACATATATCTCTATCTACCCCCTGCGTGCACTCAACCCCGGCTGCACCAACAACGACTTCCGCCCTCTATTCTGCTGTTGTCTCGGCCCCTCAACCGTCGCCTTTTCTAGATTCTGGGCCAGGGTAAAGCGATTCAACGGCCTCAGCCGTGTTGGCAGCGACATCGACATCGGCATCGACATGTGGATTCTTGGAACGGCGGGTACGGGCGGCGGCGGTAGCTTGGTAATGGATGCTGTCGGGGTTGTTGTTGTGCGTGGGAGGCCCGGACGCGGAAGGCGCGTCTGCGTCTCGACGGACTGGGACCGTTTCGGCGTGGGGCTGCGAGGAGCAACGGCGGGCACGGGCGGCGGCGGCTTGGATTTGGATGTCGGGGTGGTCGCGCGTGTGCCCGGACGCGGGAGTCGCGTCTCGACGGACTGGGATCGTTTTGGCGTGAGGTCCGTCTTTGGAACGGCGGGCACGGGCGGCGGCGGCTTGGACGCTGTCGGGGTGGCCATGGTCGCGCGTGCGCCAGGACGCGGAAGTCGCGTCCCAACGGACTGCGACCGTTTCCGCTGCGCCTGCGGTGGGGGAGTTGGAGTACCAGGGCCAGCGTCCGTCTGAACGGCGTTGCTGACTTCCCGCTGAGAAGACGGCGCCGACGACGACGACTTCTGGGCCTGGTGGGCGGAGGAGGAGGAGGCGGGGGCCGGGGCCGGGCGATTGAGCCACAGGGGCGCCGGCGCCGCCGCAGGCGAGCTAGCGGCTGTGTTGCCCGGGTGTACATGTATCAACGGCGGCTTGGGCGACGCCGCCATGTCGGGGATCTGAATCCGCGAGGTGAGGTCCCGCTGAGACGACGACTTACGCGCCAGACTGGCGGCGCGCGCCGGGATTACGGATCGAGGGAGTGGGTCCGACGTCCGCGTTACCAGCGTTGAATAAGGAACGGGCGGTATTATTCGTGGAATGATTTGCTGCTGCTGCGAAGAAACGTTAACGGGCGCCTGCAGGCGACTCGCTACTAGGGTTTTGGTTGAATGGAGCGGTCGGGCGAAGGCGCTCGGTGGGAAGCCCGAGGAGTTGACGCCGCCCGTAGAGCGGGAGGAGGAAGCTGCAATTATGCGTTCGGTAAATTGGTGGTTCATAAAACTTGAAGCTCTCGACAACCAGGGGTATGTACTTACGCGTTATGAGTTGAGTGCCTTCCGAGTTTGAACGCCCGCGCCCAGGTCTTCGTCCAATCGGTGATGCGGCTTGGGCCTTTCTCTTATCCTGGTTGAATACAACGTCAATAAGAAGTCGTCGACGATTCCCAAAAAATCCTTCTTCGACGTACTCTGGTCTCTGCGACGGTTCTGAACGCCCTGCGAAAAGGAATCTGGGTCAGGCACACGTCCAAGGCTGTAAACGAACATCCTGCTCACCGAATCTGCAAGCTACGACACGCACAGGAAGCCGCGATCTCATACACGCCCTCCGCCGTCTCGTCCGTCAGCGCAAGATGCATCGCGTGCCTCACAAGCGCCTGCAAATGCGCGAGCTGGAACTCTGTCGAGATGAGCAGAAGATAGCTAAGCACCGCCGGCGCGCGCTGCAACGCCGTCCCCAACGCCAACGAATACAAATACTGCAGCAGCGCCATCGTAACCGGATACGACTGCGTCAGCGCCGCGCTCCCCTCCATAATCGTGATCTCCGTCCCGCGCTTCCCGTGCTTAGTCGCGCTCGCGCCCCCAAACAACCCCGCGCTGTAATACCGGTCGCGGAACCACGGCCAGCGCTCCATGATGAGCTGGCGCGAGCACGGGATGCGCCGCCCGTCCTCGCAGAGAAAGGCGAAATCGGCCCCCCGCTCGGCCCGCTCCGCTGCGAGCACCGCCAACCCCATCTCCTGGCGCTTCGGATCGAGCTTGAGGACGGGCGGCTGGTAGATCCCCAGCGCCTCCAGGTCTACGACGGCGACAGCGTCCCAGCGGAGGATGTTGTCTGCCAGCACTCGTCTGGAGTCCGGCGCCGGGACAGTGCGTTTGCCGAACGTGAAGAACTTGTTGCGGTCGTGCCATATATATCCTGCGCCCCACGCGCCGATGGTGAGCAGCTCGCCGGTATCGACGCGGAGCCATTGGTTGGATGGCAGGTCGAGGGTCCAGATGCCGAAATTCGAATTCTGCTGCTGTTCGGTGTTGTTGTTCGAATTAACAACTTGGTTACCCGCGACGACGAGGGTGGACCCCAAAATGGCACCGGTGGGGAACCGCAGGGAGGGCGCCTCACTGCCAGTCGTCAAAGTCTCCACCCTTAGCTCGCCGCTCGGGAGCCGGAAGAACGCGTCGAGGTTCCGTGGGGAATGATTCTGCGAATGGGTTGAACTGGAGTTATTTGAAGAACATTTTTGAAAAATCGAACCAAAAACGAAGACGCACGTTGTGCAGGTAAATATCGCAAGGCTCATCGTCCGTCGCCGGCTCGGAATACGAAAACGGCTTCATGTCCTCGGGACACCCGGGCGAGTGTGGCTCTGGAAGAGCACGAACATGGAAATCAGAGGTCGCGATAAACGCGTGATCGGCGTCCAACGACTGCATATACGGTTCCCGCTGAACCCATTCCCGCCTTTCGAGGTCATAGATACAGACATCGTCCAGTTTCGCGCCAGCAGAGTCTTTCCCCCCGATTATGAAGAGTCGGTTGCCGGAGACGCAGGAGAGGTGCGAGTACCGCGGGCGGGGAATAATTGGCGTTACTGGCGGGGCCGCCGCCGGTGTCGGAATGCGCGTGGTCTTGCGAGGAGGGGGCAGCCAGCGGCGCGTGGAGATGTCCAAAAGCTGCACGTCGTTCAGGGCCTGCAGCTGCTGCCGTCCCCCCGTGCTGCTGCTTCCCCGCACTGCACCCAAGCCGCCGAACACAATCAAATGATTCTTCCCTACATTGGACGCGCGAACATCAGATTGATCAATATTTTTCGGGTTGAATTCAGATTGCTTCCACACGCACAAATATCAAGTGTGTGGAAGCAGCGCGGTCTGGGAACGGGGTCGCCCCTGTCTCGGTGACCCAGACGTTCTCATCGCACTTCCGCCCGTGCCTGCGGCCCGGGATTGACCCTATTGATCCTTGCCACGCGAGTTCGGGTAAATTTGATGGACGGAAGTGCTCTGAGAACGTCTGGGGCAGTTGCCCTGCCTTACCCCCCATGCTGTCACACCCATCCCCTGCTCCTCCTCCCCTCGACTTTGCCCCAAGCAATTTTGTGCCAACCCTGTCTACATCCTAGAATATAGCTCCTCATTTTTCCGGAATTGTTGCGTCCCTTTTTGACCGTCGTCGGAAGCCGCAAAGTCAGCGTGTTTTGGCGGGAGTTTCAGCCACCCGAAAACATTTTTGGTGGTCAGCCCGATTCAAAGCCTGAAAAAAATCATTTGACTCTGTAAACGATCTACAAGTGTCCTTGAGTCACTAAATGAATATTCAAACAACTTGCGATGGCCACAACGCGAAATTCGAAGGGAGTGTGACGTGACAGCATGGGGGGTGTCCCTATACGAACTGCCCCAGACGTTCTGGTGATCTCTGCGTCCATCATTCATACCCGAACCTGCTAACAAGGACGATGCCCTGACTTGCGCCCGCGCACGCAGTCGCGACTTCGACCTCTGTCTGTACAGCGACGGTTCTGGCATTGACGGCAAAATTGGTGCCGCATGTATTACAGACCGCCGCGACGACACGTTCACGCGCAGGCTTCAGCTCGGATCCGAACATGATCATACCGTGTTCGAGTCCGAGGTCGTTGGCGCGACGCTCGCCCTCTCCTCCGTCCCATCCCTTCCACACCTCCGCAAAATATTCCTCGGCATTGACAGCCAAAGTGCGATTCGCGCTCTACGTCGGCCCCGACAGCAGCCCGGCCAGTACCTCTTGCTGGAATTTCACGCCGAACTCGTACGGTTGAAGTCCAGGATCCCCGGGGCTGCGATCCACATCGGCTGGGTCCCCGGTCACGTCGATTTCCCCCCCAACGAACGCGTCGATGCGGAAGCAAAACATGCCGCCCAAAATAATCACCCCCCCCATCACCACACCCCCGCCCTCTTCCAATCCCCTCTACCCCGCAGCGTCGCAGCTGCCAAAGCTGCATACCGATCCCGCACGACGTCCCTCTGGACCACCGCTTGGAAGTCTTCCCCACGATACGAAAAATACTGCCAACTGGACAAACACGCCACCGTCCATTCCATCCATAAACCCCTTATCAACCTCTCACGCCGAAACTCCAGTCTCATTGTTCAACTACGCTCCCGTGTCGTTGGGTTGAACGCTTGGCTCCACAAAATCCGACGCGCCGAATCCCCACTCTGCCCGACATGTCACCGCCGCGAAGATGTCCCCCACTTTATCTTCTTCTGCTCTCGATTCGCTCACCACCGCGCCCTCCTCACCGCAGCCCTTGGCCGAAAGGCCACATCCCTCGGCTACCTCCTCACCAACGAAAAAGGAATACGATACCTTCTCCGCTACATACACGCCACGAACCGCCTGCCCGCTTTCCGCGACGAAGTCCCCCCAGAACCAGACACTTAGATACTCTACTCATCCCCTCGGCGCCCCCCATCCCAACTTACCCACAATATCTCTACACGTCTCCCACCCTTACTCCGCATTCCCCCCTTCCTCCAATTATCTCGCTCTGACATACACTTTACTTATTGAACCACCTAACCCCCCTGCACGCATACCACCCCGGCACACTAATTTTCTGTTTATTTGCAGTACCCTCGGACCTCCTTCGCGCGTCGAGTCAAGCTGCCCCCGAGTGCCTCCGCAACCACCTTGTGCGTCAGAGCACGCTC